GATGGCGGTGGGCAACGTGGTGCCGGTGGTGCTACTGTTGGTGGTGTTGACGGTGTTTAACACCGTATTGTTCGTCACCAACGACGTGACGGACGCCAAATTCGACGATGATGAGGACAGGCCGGACTTTTTTGCGACCGAGTCCTCGACATCAGAGTGCTGCATCATGTCGCGGTTCCTCCAGCTCTCCGCGATGCTTTCCCGATTCTTCCAAATGGTGGCCACCGTGCTGCTAGCCAGACCCAGCTCGCGCGCCACGTCGCTCTTGCTCTTACCGCGTTCGATCTCTTGGATGATCTTCATTTTCTGCTTGATCGTGAACGCTAGCCGCTTTCGACCCTGCGTTTGTAGGTTTAGGGATGCCCAATAATCGATCGTGTTAATCGGCGGTACGTGATTACGTGGTGGTACGCGTGCGAGTGATACCCGTCGCTCTTTTCGACGACGGTGGCCCGTCCTTCGTTCGAGGAGGACGTTCGTAAACAATTGTTTTGAGCAACTTGGGTGAATGATCGTGGTGGTAGTGGTAGTGGTCGTGATGGTGGTGGTAGGTGGTGGTTGGATTTCTAGCGTGGTCTCACTGTGAAGAGGATAGGCTGAGCCTTTTTCGAGCTTCGTAACCAACTGAAAGTTGGAACAGAACAAACTAAGAGGCTCTACACCAGCGATCTTACGATTCTTCAACGCTATACTCTTTCTTTCTTTTTTGTTTTTTTTTCTCTCTCTATTCTATACCGTATTCGTCGTATTGTCTACATAAAAATTGACTCTTTGTTTTCCCCTCGATCGTCGGTGTAACAAAAATGATTTCTAACGTAGAGAGAAATAAAATGAAACATAGGTGGAAGGGGAAAAAATCGATTAGGATCGATTATACAAGTGAACTGGGCATCCCTAGGCCGCGTTTCAGCTGGTTAATTACATGTATGTATTTTCTGTTTCCCTCTCCTTTCGGCTGACGTTCTTTCATCTCCTCAAAACGTCTTGCTCTGCGCGGGGTAACTGCGTGTTGCGTGTGTTTTCAACAGAGGGGGACCAAGGTGGACACGTATGTGATGTATAGTGCGTGTGAAGGTGGATGCAAGTGAATGCGAAGGAACGAATGAGCGAACGAGTGACAGAGTGATTGAAAATGGGCGATAAGGTCTCGATGGGGGTTTGGTCTGTAGTTTTGGTGTGTCTCGCTTCCTCGGGCGATAGGATATTCCGTTCACTTTGGATATCTTTTGGAAAAGCTATCACAATGGATGGGCTATTAAAGTTTCTACAGTCGCGTATCTACTCGCGTCGGTTTTCGGTCTTCGCCGCGGAAAAATCCTCGAAAATGTTCGACGACACAGTCGAGGATATTTCACGAGATCGTAAACTTGATTTCTCGCACCACGAATCATTCTTTCACCGATGTTCGACGAGCGAGAAAGGAACTTCGTCTGGTATTCGAACAACCGGAGAAGTTTTCCGGGCGAAGTACGCTTTTCCTTTGCGCTCTCGAGATCGTGTACATGTCGATTTTCTTTGTCGTTTTCCTCCATATTCCCTCTATTTCATGCTAAATACTTCTACCAACTTCTCGGCGTTTTGGTCTGTCGAACGAAAGAAATCGAGTCGTGTACACGATCCAGGGCGCAGGTTCTATACGTTCGAGAAAAGGAAGCTAATCTAAATGGATTCTGGTTCTAACCGATTAATCTAACTTCTCACACGATCATTCGCCGTCGATCTATGTGAAATCGGGTGAGAACAAACTATACGACGACAAAGATCGATATATATGAGACTGTCTACAGCGCACACAAAAAGCACCGGGAATTATGCATCATCGAGTTCACGTACACGACTATGGGAACACATCTCGGGCAGACTATCTCGACACGTAGGTGGAGCGAATTATTATCCACTAAAAATACCAAAACCACCGGAAACATCGATGTTTTCAATTTTATGTTCGCCAAGAACAATATCGTTTTAGTCTACTTTTATTTATATCCTGTTTCTATACTGAGAATACTATACAGGTTTCGCTAAGTCGTTAAGAATTTTCAATCACCTAATAAAATTGTTGTAACTGTTGCAATTAGTATCTATTTTCGTAATTTGTAAAATTGAAACGCTTCTAACGATATGTAAAATTTAACGAATATATAGAAAATAACGGAAAAGAAGCAATTCGAAATTGAAACATCGACATCATGGAGGTCTCGATTTTTCTCGACACGATTTATTCTTCCCTCCCATTCTCTCGTACATTTTCTCTCGCTCATTCTCTCTCTATGAAAGCTGCACGGTTCATCGCGGTTCTCATCAATGAAACCCAAAGACTGTCGGGTCGATTCTCGCCGTGTGGAGGACCCGGAAGCGAGATGCAGCCACAAACGATCCTCGATGGGAAACGACTAAAAAGAAACGCGTTCTCGGCTCACTGGCGACGAGGTGCGTAAACGAACAGAAAAATGTATCGAACACAAAACTAAAAAAAGAAACTTTGGAACTAAGGGGTACGAGATTAGGTGGAGAAATTGTTGGTATAGTATATTAGTTTGGAAGAGACTCTGGGAGGACATGCTGGGTTCTCCTGTCACTATTGCTAGCGATTCTCGATCGTCTATAGGGGTTCTTGGTTTTCGTGTGTCCTGGGACATTTTTTCTCTGTTTCTTCTCATTTTTTTTTTGTTGTTTTTGGTTGGTTGTTTGGAATACGTAATGGGTGGTTAAGGGGGTTTCACATATATGCGAGTATATAAAAGTTTTTGGAGTTTTACAAGAATATATCCACTGGAGAAGTATATATATATATGTATGTATATATATAATGTACAAATAGATGTATATATAATATACGTATATAGATATAGATAATATATATATATACATATATGTATATGTATAATATAAATACGACACACACAGAGAGCATGCGACACGCACGACAGGTGGACAAAATACAAAAAAACGTAATAGGTATCCCAAATAGAGTGAGAGAACAGACTCCTTGTGAATGAAACAACGAGAATCGAGACAAAATGTGAAAAGGAAGTAAACACTGTCATAAAAGAGGGGTTTCAACTTACCTCGAGCAGCTGTTGATTTCGAATTTCCCGCTCTCGCCTCACTGCTTCCTGCCTTTCCGTTTTCTCTTGCTCCTTGATGAGCCTGCAACGGGAACACGATTAAGTGATCAATCATTACCGTGATAAATATTAAACCCTTTGTGGCCCGAATAGTATTTTTCTAGAAAGGAAAAATTCAAACTTACAAAGTGTATACTTCAAAAGAAAAAAAAAAGTAGAATATGCAAATTACGAATTGCATTGATGAAAGAAATACATTATCCCATTATATCAGCATAGTTGTGTGAACTAAAATTCGATCAATTGATCTATCATTTACATAATTGATAAATATTTAACCTTCTGCGGTCCAAGTGTTTCTCTAGAACGAGGTAATTCCGCAATTTGCAACTGGGTCGAAACTTAAAACTAGAATTACGAATTGGGTTAATGAAGCGAAGACACTGCCTTATCGACATACATCGTTACATTTATATTTAAAACGATATTCAATGATTTACCTAGCTTGCTCCTTGTGTCGTTGCGCCTCCTCTTTCGCTAGCTTTTTTGCATATGCCAGTTTCTCCCTCTCGTACTGATTGTTTGTTCGCACGTCCCTGAAACCACCTGCGGCTCTCAACTCCTCCAATCTTCTCGCAACTTCCTGAGCGCCCAACCTAACGAATTCCGCCTCCGCGAGACCCATCGTTGGCTGTAGGAATTCACCCACAAGCGGACGAGACGAGAACGAAAAGTTTGCCGTCGTTAAGTCGGGTGGATTCTGTTGCTCCAAAAACTACAAAACACGATTCCAACGTAACATAATCACGTATATATATATATAAAGTACAATCTTTCAGTGCAAAAGAACGAGAAAAAAATATCAAATTAAAATGGATGAAAAATCAATAACGAAGGTATTAAAGGAGAAGAAACAAATCCTTTTCAAGAAAAGGAACTAACCTTCGCCAAATCCGGACTACTCCTGAACGTCTTTCCACAAGGACTATAATAAGACACGTCACCCTTTATCACCCCTGACTTTCCTAATCCCTTGATGACGGTCTCTCGCTTCCAGCCACGCTCAAGCGGCACCTGGAGATCCCTCTCGCTAGGCTTCACTTTTCTTCTCTTCGCGCTAGACACGCCATCCGCGTTGTCGTCGTCGGTGTCCGTCACAACGTCGGTGTTGCTGCCGCTCTCGCTCGTCACGTCCATGTTACTCTCCTCACCGGATACCTCGAGCACCTTGTTCTTCATCTTCTCCTGTAAAGACCGCTATATAGGGAGAATGGTTTTAGTGGAAAATCATAAGTGAAAAAAAACAAAACTGTCCGCGCCCGTGGTTTTCGCTTTGATTTTTCGGTATTTCTTCCTTCGTGATGCTCCATCTGCTTGAAATTTCACTTTTACAGTGAAAATTAATGTAGCTGTGCTCGTTCAAATTCTGATAATTTGCAATTCTCGCGAAACTAGTAGCAATTTCGTTTTGCATAAGAGTGCTCTTGAACTCTTTGACAAGTAAAGAGAATAGATCTGGCAAAAGTAAGAGAACTATTACGTCTTTTCCACTGTCTTTGGATTGCATATTTCTATGAGTGCGACGAAACAAATAGAGCTTAAATAGACATTTGTTCGATTAATTAAATATCATAATGAGAGCACTACTTTGAGCATTTTGTTAGATACGTTTTCATATTAGGCACATTCTGTACACTGTTAAAGTTCCCGTAAATATCACAGTCATTAGATCACATTAAGCTGAAAACACTGAAAATAAGTAATAGAGAACAATAATACTGAACGAGTCATTTGAATCTGGGCTGTACAACTCTATCGAGATTTAAACGAGCACTACTGTAACCGTAGCTTCAATAAAATCAATAAATCAAGATGCTTAACTCATCGAACGTACAAATTGCGTAAAACGAAACAAAGAATATACCCATTTAAAAAAAATCGAAAAATTATTTCCATAATGTATTTACTTACTATGAAATTTACCTGATTCTTGTCATCGGCCTGGCCAGTGGCAGTGGCATGCAATTGAGCAGCCAGAATATTCGACCTAAGTAACGAGACCTGATGAGACAATGGCACACTAGGATCCAAAGTGGGCGTCGGTTTGATTCCCAAAGCTCTACTCTGAGCTAGCAGCGAGGCCACCGTGTTCTTCTTCGGTTTAGATACTCCACGGCCCAAGTTTCTCGGCCGACCATCTTTGTGGTGGGTTGTGCTGGCGCTCTCGCTCTCCTCGCTTCCGCTGCTCGGTCGTTGAGGTGAATCCGCTGCAGCGAACAGCTGCGCCAAGGATGGACTCGGCGATGCTGGCACCGGCACGGAATTCTGTGGCACCCTTCGAGGCTTCGGTCCTGGCTTTCTTCTCGCTAGTTGTGGAAACAGTCGGTTTATACGAAATATGGTACAAGATTTTATTTGAAACTTCGTAATTTTTGCATTAAAATTTCTTTTCCAGTTCGCGATGGATGACACTCCAGCTCAAAAGTTTGGAGTTTCAAAAGAAATAATGATGTCCTTAATTAAATAACTATTTTATTCATAATTCTCTTATAGCGTTAAGATTGTAATTAATTATATGTAAAAATGAAACCTGTGTGTTATAATTATAATTCTTATTTCTTAAAGAAATGTACAAAAAAGATTTGTTTTGTTTGCTCTAACATTTTGAGCAGCTATGTACGTCAAACTCTTATTGGTCATTGTCACAAATTTATCAGATATATCAACACATCCATCAAACGTTTATGGACAATCTACGTGTCACAATACAGTGACATTACTTTATCAGGTGTGAATGAAGTTTCAGTTATAGTAAAAGTTCCTCTTTTATCGATCTAAAGCTGGACATCAAAATCTAAATCTAAAATTAGAATCAGTTTAACTTAAAACAAATACACTTATCTTCAAATTACTAAGTTACTTGTTAAAATAGAGTGTTTCATATATGCAATATGAAGTATGAAAAGATAAAACATTCATAGAAGTTTTTTTCTTGTATTTCTCAGTTGCAGTAGATTATCATAAATAAGCATTATTCACAGCCCTCGTTTCTAGTACATTTATTTCGATTCTTTACATTATTTTATTGTTTGGCCTGGTTCCATTGACTGACTCCATAGTGTATATGATTACTGTAGTCGTTGCGAATGGGTCAATCTATTCAGGTATTGTTGCGATATCGTTTGATGTTTTTGAATCATTTGAATCTTTGCGCAAATGTAATACTTACAAGTTCGATCGGAGGCGAGTAACGACTGACTTAAATTACTGAGCTGACTGAGCGGCTGACTGCCTGAAATCGGCGAGCTACTGCTCGTCGTCGAGGGTTTCAGAGAGAGGTTCAGCGGCGCGTCCGAATCATTCGAATTGCTCGCGTTAGTGGTTGTTGTATACGACGATGGCGCTGGTAAGGCAGAGCCGTTTGTCGAGTGCGCCGGCAGTTTGATCACCTCCACGCGATCCACCGACTCCCTATAATCGTTCGACTCGGTCTGAAAGAAATACAAACGACAATATTACACCCAGTACTCTTAGGATCATCTTTGGGATTTAACTTTGAAACTCTGTCTTCTAAGCTCTTCAATTCAGCCAACCGACTATATTAAACAGATTTAATTTTTGATTGATATTGTGCAGTGCATGGAATGCATTATTCACAAGATATCTGATATCAAATAGATTAGAAATGTGATGATTCTTACACTCACTACACGCTAATTAATATTTTATAGGATGCACTGTCCTCGAGACATTTAGTATCAAATATATAAAGACTACAGCGATTCTTTCACTCACTATAGCATAATTAGTATTGTATAGAATGCATCATACGACATATAACATTTATATTTATCTAGAGGATTCTATTGCGAATTTTTAAACGTTTACAAATATGTATACTAATGTGTCCTAATCTTTAAAATCATACAGACTTTTCTACTAGAATTTGACTTTACTAACTAGTCTTGTCTTCAATTATTTGATGAACCTTTAATTAGAAAATTTATACATTTCTTGGCTGAGAATACACAGATTTCCACCCTAAGATAAATTGACTATATAACTATTTTTTAGACTACTTCCATTCTATCATAGCATTCTAAAATAGAAAATGATAATTACCCCCGTGCGATTATATTTTCTCGGTTCCATCATTAACGAGGATGTCGTGGTGTTTGTCTGATGAGCACTCAGAGCAGGTACCGGCGGTGGATGCACACTCACACTCGGTGTGTCTAAGGATATAGTCTTCTTCCTCCCGCGGTTCGTTGTGCCAGGAACCTTTGGACCGACTATGCTCGACGTGTACTTGATAATCTCCGTATCAGGTGGTAGGCGTACACCTCCTAATATACTGCTAGGATCGCTAAATAAATATAATTTAAATAATCATTTAGATCATTCAATCTCTTGTTTGCATTTCGACCGAATCTTGCAAGATTTACGAACGAGATACTTTTACTTAAATTTTCAATCCATGCGTTTAGTAGCCCTTCAAGCACACGATTATCGTATATTGAATTAATTATTGTAATATAGATATAACTGAATAAGATTGATATAAAAATAATTTTATAATCAAAGAATCATTCTATAATAATAAGAGCTTATAATACAGCATCAAAGTATTAGAGACGAATATGCGAAAGGATGAATATAATCTATGTCCACAAAGGGCTAAAATGTTAACCGCGCGTAATCGTCTTTTTTTCCGCGACTATTTTGAATATTAAATACAACGGAACGGGCGACTAGTTAAAGGACAAATTGTTTAAAACGGCGCGACGTTAAGGGCCATCGAGCAATCATAACAACGAAATTACACGGTTACAAGCATCGTATGAAAGTTAAATGAACAGGAGAGTGCCGGTAGCGCGGAATTCACGGGGGAGAGAGAGAGAGAGAGAGAGAGAGAAATGGAAATAGAGAAAAATACCCCATGAATTGCGAATAACAAATATCGATCGTGCACGAGCATCTCTTTCGATTCGTTTTGTTTTATCTCCTTCCTCTTCTCTTTCATTTTTATTCATTTTACGTATCATTTTCTTTTCTCTTTTCTTTTTTTTTAGATTCGTCGTTGTTATTAATATTTTTACTTTTTTTTGTTCGTTCTTAACGATCTCTCACCTGCCCTCTTTCGCAGAACTGTAGGCGTATCGGCAAGCGTGGAAAAATAATTAATGGGAAACGGTAAGTGCGCTGCGGACGCGGGGCGTCTGTTAAAAAATAATGAAAACGGGAAAACCATCGATTTAACGAGCGTGCACACTCGTACCTGACAACGTTCGTTTGCGAATTCGGCGTGCTGCTGGTCGACGTGCTGTGATGAGACGACGTGACTGGTGCTTGAGTCGAAACCGGTAAACTGCTGCCCGTCATACTCGGCGTCGTCGAGCTGCTACTGCTCGCTGGCGTCTTGTGACTCTTACTTGACTTAGCTTTTGGTTCATAGGAAACAGAGACACTTTATCATTATTCATTCTTTTATACGCACTACCAAGTACGAGAAAGATAAAAGAAATTTCAAAAGTTTGATTAAAAATTACTAAGTTGTTTTACTCTTTCGTTACTAGACATTTGTAATTACGATTCTTATAACAAAGAATAATTCATGGTTGCCATATAAAAAGAGTTCATATTTTCTGAAGGAATACGGTATAACTTCATTTATCTGAATTAATTTCAATTTGAAGGTATTGATTTTCACTATTATTTATAATTTTTCATTCACATTGAGGCTGGGATTGCATTCAGATAAGTCGACAGGAGTTTGTTTAATCAAACATAACTAGAATTTCGTCGCAATATATAAATGAAGTTCAGATAAATGCTGTTTTACTATAGTTTTTGCAAAGAGCAATGAAACCAGTATTATACTTGTGACATTGACTTGTGTGTACAATTATTTTTAAAAAATATGGTTAAAATATTGCGTTTATTTCGTTGACAAGAGATAAACTACTAAAAGCATCTTTTATAAATAAAATTGCAAAAGTATTTTATATGCTTAGAGATATAATTAGATAATTTAATTATACGGTACTAACGCAATTACACGTGTCTCATACAGTGTATTTTTATCACGTGACTGTATTTTTTCTAATTGTTGTGGCGAAAGAGTTGAACAAATTCTGAAGAATTTTAATCTCGTGTGATTTCAGTAATTATATAGTGAAATTGGCAGCATTTAAAAACATATTAAACGATCTAATCTAAAATTATTAGAATCAAATGTGAACAAAAGTAATGAACAGGAATAATATTAAATAAGGAAGAATGAAAGATTGTAAATTTGTGATACTTACACTTACTAGACTTGTGTGACGATAGGGACGGGGGATTAAGTAGAGAGGCAGGATAGGGTGGCAGAAGGCTCTCGGCACCAGGCGGAAATCCGGGTAGCCCTGCCGCTCCTTGTAACCTCGCGAGGTAGTCCTGTGCAGCTAAATGTGAGGCCATTGTCCACCACGCTGCACTAGCAGGATTGATACCTACAAATTTCAAATTGTTAGCTTCATTTTCACGTTGCTATCTTATAGTCGTTCATAATCATAATCACTTTATTATTATTCATTCTACTGTGTTCCCTAAGACATTTTCAACACAATCGTGTTTTTCTACCGTTAAAAAATGTTTAAAGTTGAAGAAACATATGAAAAAATCGTTGTTGATATGCATGATTTCTTGTTCCAATTTCACCTTTTGCTTGTTAAAACAAGAGTGAAATTGGGACATAAAAATTCGAGAACCGCAGCAAATTAACCATGTATTACTAACCCAGATACGCTCGAATTTCTCTTGTATGATGTTTTTGTAAATATTCATTTGTTTGTATTAATGTTGAATATATCGTTTAATATTTTATGATACTGTTTATTATTCGTTTATTGTCTGAAACGCGCAAACAAAAAAATGACGTCAAATTGTCAAAACTCGTAAAATGAAATTTTAGGGCGATGACAAGCATATCTATGTTAATACTACGCTGAATTACTTTAAATTGAATTATAGATTTAATTCATACATTTAGTTTACGAATAAAAAATATGAACTCCTATGAAATTTCACAATTGAAGACACTGGTGCAATATGAAGTCAGCTTTATTGTTAAGTAACTTAAGTAAACCAATAAAAACTAACTGAAAATTAATCAAAATCAAATTTACAAAATAGCTAATATTACAGCTATCAATAATTTGAAAATATTCAAGAACAGACAGGTAATGGAAGTTTATTTTATTCCTAAATCAAGCAAACAATCAGGATAGGTAATAGAAAACTACCTGACAGACTAACGAATTTTAAAATTTCTATGAAAGACAAGCGTAACTTACCACTGATTCTCCTCTACGGGTTTCATGTAAAACCGTTAAATACCTATACCGTTTTTCCCTCTCCAGACAATACAATTTATATATTTCTACTGCTACTTTCGTATTCCTGTAAACCCTCCAATTACACAGTCCATTCTATACTAACATTGATATCTCTATAATATGTAGGATAACAATGAAATTACCTAAACTCGCAGCCTGACTGGCAGCTACACTCAGAGTACCAAGGCTGCTATGGGAGTATGGAGGTGGTGGTGGAGCGGAAGCTGGTGTGTGCCCCCCGAATCCAGGAGCAGAGCCACCACGGCCCAAGATGGCATAAGCCGATGGTAAATGATGGGCCCCCAATCCATACCCGCCCGGCATTCCGCCGAATAACGACGAAGCTGCACTGTCGCCTCGAGGCCAATACGCTGCAATCAAAATCAAATTGGCACGTTCAATTAAAGGTACTTACACGAGTGTAGAGACGTTATCGTTTAATTTCTTTGAAAAACAAACTTCTATTAGGTTATGTATGTTTATGATTATATATACAATATATGTATACAGGAGTAGTTTTCTATGGAATATTTTCATGAGCCAGGACATTATTAATAAGATAACTAGAACATGAAACGTTCAATTTGTGCTAAATATCGTAGGTGTTCCAATACTTATTAGACGCCACTGTAAATAAAATTTCAGTTTGAATTGAACTCTTTTAATATACCAATTATCACTTATAAATTACATCACTTATAAACTACTTATTAGTTAATAATATATCATGCTTTTTATACTTAACAATATCTGTAGCTAATTTATAGTGATACATACTCATCGTTAAATTAAGTATACCCTTTTTTCTTGCTATGGTACAGCTGGGACGTTTAATGAATTTTTGAGTTTTAATATTAACGAGAGATTTTACCCATTACTTTCTAATATGCAAATTTACGAACAATATTCTGAACGTGTTACACGAGAAAATTAAAATGGTGCCTGTTCTGCGTATTTGTTGAGTGGTAAAATGAATAAATAACAGATATATGGCCGCCGTAAGAAAACAACGTCTTTGAGGGATGTACTTTCGATTTACAACTGCGATCGATATTGCGAATCCTCTTCATATATTGCGATATATAATATTGCGATAACTTCATAGCGAATCATCTCTATAACGCTGTACGTAGAAGTAGTCCTATTTACATAACCTCCGAGTTCGATCATTTCGACAATTATCTACGATCTTACAAAATGTTTGGGTATTTTCTTATTCAATCCCGTTATTTGTTATTGTAATTTCATTATTATTATTACTACTACTACTGCCAATTTGAATACTATTATTAATATACGTATATACAATTGAAATAAATTTGTTGCTCCTGTGCGTCCTGCTAGCCATTTTTCAAACAACCCATTTTCTTTAGTCTTGAGGTGAATTTGGTGCCAAAGAAATACTCGGCGATGCACAACGGTATATTTATTTAACAATCCTCGCTTTCGTACAATTCTCTATTTCAACTCACTATTCTCACTTCGTGGTTAAAACTCGACTGTTTTCTTCGTCCGATTTGTTTCTTTTGTCGCCCTTCGATATCCCCACTACGCACTCGTTCGTTAGGCATCCGCCACTGTTGCCACGTTCTCCTTCTTCCAAATATTCGGCGGAAGGATCGTAGAGATACCGAAGGTTCATTTGGCCTGTCGACCTTACGCTTCGGTGATGTACTTTGTGTATCGACGAAACCGTTAGAAAGTTTTGTTGTCAAATGCCGCTAGTCTGATGCCAAACGCTACAAGGTAGGAATTTAATGCTTTGATAATTCATTGCCGAAAATACGTTACTACTAATTCCCAACCATCGTTGAAGTAATCGTTAAAGATTCCATTATTTAATTAAATGTTTAACTAACAATGAAACGGGAGAGCAGAAAAGAAGCTTCAAATTTTCATTACCAATACTAGCTGCAAACATTGTTGAGCACTCAGATTCGTACTCGTGTAACACGATACTGGTGCATACACGCACACACCCGTCGGCAATTCCAGTTAATTAACCAATTATCCGCGAGCGTCATACGCAATTGATTTACCTCCCGGAATTAAATATAATTCAGTACGGGAGGTTCGCAGAGCGCCAGCACGTACGTACGGCGTTGCCGAAAAATATTTGTAAATTCGGGAAACGAAGAGATAATTAGAGGGCCGGCCAGATATTTCGCCCTCGTTATGTAACCCCGTTAATGGACGCTGGAAACTTCGATCGCGAACGATGCGAAAAGATTGAAATGCGCAAGAACAACCTATCTGCTTACACACAACCCAAAACCTGATAGTTTAAATATTTCGAAAATCATTGGCTTAGAAGATTCAAAATTTCAATACCTTTTCAGTAATTAATGAAAAGAAAATTCCAACAGATTAATACAAAATTTAGCAATTTAATTAAAAGGGAAAAAGAGGAATACCTTAGAAATTATCAATTCGGAAGATTAGAAGTTTCCTTAACGTTTCAATAATCCATGAATGGAAAATTTCCGCAGGTTTTATTCAAAGATTTAAGAAAGAAAGAAAAAAGGAAACATTACCCTAATCTTTTAGCGTGTGACACGTCTTATATGTTTATATGTCTTTTTTATATACAGTAGAACTCCATTTATCTGAATCTACCAGAGAATGAACAATTCATATAACTGGAGTTCACATAATAGGAATTCACAAATTTTCTTCACCATTTATTATTCTTCGCTCGTATAATATAATATGAGTTCAGGTAACTAAAATTCCACTGAAATAAGTTGCGCCGTAGGTTTACTTTTATTTCTCAAGTTGGTAATAACTTACACCAATTGCTAATAACCTATCGTTGTGCCAGAATAACACTAACGTTTGACCGATTAAATTTCCCTAGTACAACGAATTATCCCTATCGAGGCGATTAACAATTAAATTGTTATCGGCTGTATCAACGATCGTAATGATACGCAGAACAGGAAGCGAGAAATAAATTGCAGTGTACACATTGCTGGAACTCGTTATGACGATGCCGTTTAGGCGAGATAAATAAAAACGGCGGATGCCGATACTTTCTAATTTTCATGAAGTGCTAACGATTTTCATAAAACCTTTCTTTAGTTATACGACTGTGATCAAGCATCGAGGATATCCTACGGTCCCTATGAAATTACCCTAAATCTCCTCTATTACGCGTTCTTGCCTCGAATAATGATAGTGCTTTGACTGGCTGCGATTACGCTTCGTACTGATATACGAAGTTGAGCTTCTATTCTTTCTTTTTAAGTAGAATCATCAATGAATACAGATAGCTGTAAGTATCGGTTGAATGAAATTATACAGAAGGAGACGATTCAACTTCAATGGCAAATAATGGACTCGGTTCGAACTGAAACTAAACTGTATAATCGAAGCTTTCATTTGACATTCTTTTTAGAAATTAAATGTAATGGAGACACACAGAACAAGTTAATCATTCGATTCCTGGCAAATTAAACGCTAGTCATATATTTTAATATTAAAGTTTTATATAAAGATTCATAATCTAAACAGTTAGCTAATTAATAATCATTGCAAATATCTATTGCTATAATTTGACGACTAGTATTTTCTTAAGTAGAAAACGATAATTAAGAAGAGGCATAGCCCTTAGACAAGCAATAAACATTTATTAATTTTTATACATCCGTGGAAATATTTTTTTTATAATTTAATGTGCGCCACTAATCTCTATGTTCATAATTGCATAAGAACGTTGGATAGATTTTGCAATAACTTTAATTGCAATAATTTAAAAAACAAACACTATCCTATACGACAAACAGCACTAGAACAACTTACATAATTTTATACTCGTATAATTGCGTAAATTAATGTATGCATATGCAACATGCAAACGCAAATAATACAACCGTGACTGGTCAACGATATGTAAAAGCACGAGATTACATAAATAATCAGTTTGCGAGATCTTTCGTAATTTCACTCATAGATGAGATAAATTAAGAATACTACATGCAAATATATGTAAAATATTTATTTTATGCTTTCGAAAATAAATTTCCTATAATTTTCCAAATGAAATGAATTATTGTTATTAATATCGAATCATTTATAGCGTCAGAAACTGAACTAAAATCTAATCCTGAGATGCTTGGTCCATGGGTGTGAACAGTTGATCTTTATTAATCGGATCAATAATATTATACCATTTAATAAAATGTTATCTACCATTCAGAAATCAAAGATCAATCGACCTTGGAATTCCCCCCCCCCCCC